ATATATTATATATATATTATATATATATTATTATATAAATACACGGTAAAGACATCTAAATATATGCACGGCGGGCGCGACCGCGACGGCCCGGAGGTAGTATGAAACACCAGTTCCGTATATTTAAATGTATGTGTACACAAATTGATTCCGTATGTTTAAATGGCCGGGCGGGCCAAGGAAAACCTTTCTGGAGGCAGTCCAAAATACCAGTTCCTAATAATATTTAAACATCCGTATATTCAAACGTAGTTATCGTAATATGTATATATATATATATATTTATAGTTATATATGTGTTTTTATTTAAATGTAGAATTTGCATAAATTATTCAATAAAAATATGATATAATTGTGCAATGTAACGTATGCACGTACATTTGTATTTACCTAATTAGTGTTACATAGCCTATATGGTTCTATATGTGTATATATATATATATACATATGATTTTATGTATAGTCTATATGATTCTATATGTCTAAATATGTATTTTCCATATATTTTCCATGTTTCAACCTGACCCCATGATCTCTTGATCTCGATCAAGGCTCTCTTCAGCTCACCCGCGGCGTTCTCGATCAAGCAGCTTGGTTCGATGTGGAAAATTAATGGGTGTTCCGGATCTTAGTTTGCCCTGTACAATCTGGTTATTTAACATAGCCATGGTATAGATGGCTCATTTAATGATGGTTTACCTATCAAAAGTGGTGATTTTCTATAGCTACGTTAAATAACCAGAGGGTATATTATCCCTGTAACATCCTATAACTATATTTATAGGGAAATATGGTGATACACCATACGTTATTGGCAAAATCTACAGATAGTACATGACCCGCTATATCTTTAGCTATTGGTTCGTCCAAAAGTCAGATCTCCACAATTCATCACAATTTACAATCATCACATATCATTACTTTTCATTGCCAATCTGTGCCGGTCGCGATAGCACGCGAGAAAACACTGAAGTCTGGGTCGAAGATGTCGAAAAAAGGCTACTATGGATCAATACCTTCAACCATATGCGGGGGATGAAATGTGATGAATGAATGTTGAGTGAAAACCACATTTTACCAACTATTCAACTATTCACTATGTTTACCAAATGTTGAGTGAATCTTGGTGAATTTACCAACATGTTACCATATTTTTTTTTACATCCCAAGGGCACCAGAAAGGACCAGATCAACTGGCACTGGAACATCCACATGGTGAGTTGCATGATGGCTTTTGAAAGTGGAACGGGTCTTGATATGTTTTGGAAAACAGTGGAAAACAATACATATATTGGGATATATCATATCAATTCTATATAAAACTATATATATATATGTAACCAGAATAGATCATAAATCAATTTTGTATGATATGGGTATGGATCAATACCTATGAAAATACCATTTTTAGGGGGATGAACATCCATAAATCCCAGCTATTTTGATGTGAACTACAGGGATACAAGGTTTTGACACACTGCCATATTGGGATATATCTATTCTGTATAAAACTATCAATATGTTGATGGGAAATATGGTGATATACAACATATTATAACATTACAAACCGCGTCGTTTGAACATGGATACATAGCACAAAATGTTTCAGTAACAGTGGTTTGATTTTTTTTGTGCACAGTTCTTCCAGACAGGCCTTTTTGGAGTTGTATATGATGGGGGGGGGGCAGGGCGGCCCAAAAATGCTGCCAACTCCAAATTTCATCAGTGGTGGATGCCTTTTGTCGATTTGGAGTGTATTTTTTACAATGTATAATTACCCCACACATTTTGTACAGATTACAGATGTTCCATGGTGTATCCATTTGTCCTACACAACCATTCGGAACATCTTAAAAAAAAAAAACACATCTTTATCAGCAACAGGTGGCGCCTTTGAACAACGCAGGGTCAGTGATGAATTTTGCATGCGCAACTGTGAGAAACACAAGATGAATCTGTTTGGCACGATTTCGTTTTACAAACGCTTTGTCTCAAACATTTGTCCACCTTTTGTTTTTACATGTTCGTGATTAAAAAAACAAAAACAAAACAACACATGCATCAACATGCTGGTGGGAGAATTGGTTCGGATGATAGGGTTGGCCTCAGAACCTTTTGCTTCCCAGCTCAACAAACCTCTGGGGGATTCCCAGCTAGCCCACCGTTAAGAGTACTGGTTCTCTCAAGATCCGACACATCATCCCAGTGAAAAAAAATCCTGGTAGTGACTAGCAAATCAACATTCCTGTGGAATCCTTCCATTCAGGATTGTCCATCTACAAATCTTCATTCTAACAAAATGTGAACGGTTCTCATAGCGCCAGTATCCGGTTCATTTAGCCAATCCTGAGTCAAGGTATTTATTGAACTAAGGTTTATGAAGTATCTACATGTATAATATGTTTAAATGGAATTTCATAAACCAAAATTGTCCCTTGGAAAGCACCAGGGTTCGTCTCAAGGTATTTGTTGAACTGCGCCATGATGACCAACGCCAACAGTTTGATGAACCTACCGCAGCTTTGCTATCGGACCGTCATGGGCGAGCCTGACCCTTGGTGTTTCTCATACGGAGTCTCGGCACGTAAAGGTGACACAGGCGAGGGGTGAAAAGTCATGAAGACACCATCCCCAAACTGGAGGAACATACCCTTAGACTTGGACCTTACTTGTCTACTGAAATCTCAACCCCAAATATGGAAAAAAAACATTTTAGGTATCCACTGGAGCTGTACCAACCATATTACATGCGACACTTATTGTGGAATGTGGCTCGAGAATCAATGGTTATAATTGCGTGATTTTTGGACTTATAAAACTACCGGATCCCTGGCCATCCTCAGTTTGACTTGCCTTTCTTCTTTGTGTGACCAACGCCTCACTGCAGTGTTAAGAACCGCCAGATCTTTGTCCAATGAGTCAATGAGTCCAATGATGGTTGATCACTATGATCACTATTCACTATGCCAAGTTATCCAAGTTACCCTCTGGTTATGACTAACATAACCATGGTTTTTCGATGGCCCATTGAAATAGATGGTTTACCGTTCTTGATAGCATGGTGGATCTTTCCATGGCTATTGCTGTGAATGTCATAACAAAAATAACCGTTGATGGAATCATTTGGATGAAAAAAATGAATCATCCCGTCCCAACAATTGGTGCTATGAAGGGAGAGCGTGGTATACCATGGAAAAACCATTGTTGGTGATGAAAAAAATGGTGGAAATCCGGAAAAACCATGATGGTGGTATACCATTGTTGGTGATTATCATTGGTGATCATCCACTCCACAAGTATTCCAATGGGATATGGATTCTGAAGTATGTGTCAACTGGTGTGGGTCCACCTTGTGTGGCACTGATCCTCCCAGATGCTCCTTGAAATGACCCAAAAAGGTTGCAGCGACAGCAATGATGGCACCGTTATCCCATGGTATATCTTGGTGATTGAATGGTGATTTGATTGGGACTTAATGTTGATTTATTGATTTATACCATGTATAATCTGATTGGTGATTTGATTGGCGTTGATTTAACGGCGATTTAATGGTGATTTAATGATGGTTTAATGGTAAATAGACTCTTCATAGTGTCATAGTTGTTGGTGGTTTAGATTCGCTGTAAACCCAAACACTCTCCCTGGGGGTCACCTGATTGGCGGGCGGTTAAACCTCTGATAATATTTAAGTTGGTTGGGATGTTACCTCCCATTAACTAGTTGGTTTGATAAGGTTTGATATATCTAACATAAACCATAGAATCACGTAGTTATCTCTACCAACTAGCATATCATCAATCACAGAAAAAACACAGTGTTGCTGGTGAAATACCAATTCTTCCAATCTAGTTGCCGTATCTTTACCAATTGATGTATCATAAATCACATGTTGTCCCCAATGTTCCGACGTTTTTTAAGCCATGACATATCCTGGATGGTCCCAGGATTTCTTTGGATTTTCATGATTTCCTCAGGATTTTCCCAGGATTTTCATGATTTTCCCAGGATATTGGTATGCTTTCTCCATGGGCATCATTGCCCTTGGCTTCGGCATGGGCATCTACGTGCCCAGCTTGTTGTGGCTTGGATGGCTTGGAATGGCTTGGATGTTGGAAAAAACCCAATGTTTGTCTGTTGGTTGATGATGAACATAGCTATATTTACCCTCTGGTTATTCAACATAGCCATGGAAAATCCCTTATAAATGGAGGTTTTAATGAGAAAATCATCTATAAATGGGCCATTTTCCATAGTTATGTTAGTTTACCAGAGGGTATTATTTAATGGGAATTGTTAAAAACATATCATAGTTACGCTATGTTTGTGATAGTGTTTCTCCATTGACTATCATGTATCCAGTTGTATTCCATCGTTTATGCCATGAATTTTACCAACCCCTTATATGAATCATCATGAAAACCAATATTTGTACCTTAGTGAAATTGCCATTTTTATCCCATCGTTTCCCATGAATTTCCTTAGTGATTCCCCCCCAAGGCCTTCGGCCGCCTTCTTTTTTTGCATGCGCTATTTCGTGGTTCCTGGGCAGCCTTGTCCCGAGCCGCTTGGGGATGTTGGCCGTGGTTCAGGTATTTGATGTTCATGAAATAACTAGTTACAGTTAACTAGTAACTGGTATATGGGTCTGCCTGAAAATGGCATTTATGTCTCCAATTGCCCATTTTAAATGGGGAAAAAGATGATAAAGCATTGAATTTTGGGGTAGCCTATTTTGAGACACACCAACCTGAATGATGAAACATGTACATGGAGAGAGAGAGAGAGAGGGATGGGCTAACCTTTACAATGAATTGGGGAATTGAAAGTTTATTTGCCAGCTATTCGGATGCCAACACAAGGGTATCAGGTTTTGACTCATAGCCATGTGTATAGAAGTATATGTATATAACACATATATATATATATATATATACAACAAATATACACCCTTTGGTAATGTTTCAATGGGAACTTTTGAAAGGAAACAAAAAATCTGATGGATTTTCCAGCCATGGCATTTTTTTGACACCAGAGGGTACATGTCTTAAATTGAACCGTTTCTATCTTTTTTGGGTGGTTGCTATATATATATACAGTAAATATGTTTGATATATATTTGTATATACAGTATTACATCATTTATTTATTTTTTTATTCCCCACCTGCCAGGTGAGGGTTGTTAGATTTTATGTCAGTTGCCTCCTCCTCCTCCTCCTCCTCCTCGTCCTCCTCGTCGTCCTCGTCGTCCTCGTCGTCCTCGTCGTCCTTGCTCAACTGCGACCCGCGATCCACAGTGTTCTCTGCCGGACCTCAACCACGACCATCCACGCCCAGTGTTCCCTGCCGGACCTCAACCACGACCATCCACGCCCAGTGTTCCCTGCCGGACCTCAACCACGACCATCCACGCCCAGTGTTCCCTGCCGGACCTCAACCACGACCATCCACGCCCAGTGTTCCCTGCCGGACCTCAACCGCGAGTATCCACGCCAAGTGTTCCCTGCCGGACCTCATGTAGGAAGATATGGGACAAAGAATGTGCATAAGAAAGTTAGAAAGAATGTCAGAAAGAATGTCAGAAGATATGCCAGAAGATATGCCAGAAGATATGCCAGATAGAATGCCAGATAATATGCCAGAAGATATGCCAGATAGAATGCCAGAAAATTTGCCAGATAGAATGCCAGAAAATATGCCAGAAGATATGCCAGATAGATATGTCAGAAGATATGCCAGAAGATATGCCAGAAGATATGCCAGAAGATATGTCAGAATATATGCCAGAAGATATGTCAGATAGAATGCCAGAAGATATGTCAAAATATATGCCAGAAGATATGCCAGATAGAATGCCAGATTGAATGCCAGAAGATATGTCAGATAGAGTGCCAGAAGATATGCCAGATAGAATGCCAGAAGATTTGCCAGATAGAATGCCAGAAGATATGCCAGATCATATTCCAGAAGATATGCCAGATAGAATTCAAATAGAATGTCAGAAGATATGTCAGATAGAATGCCAGAAGATTTGCCAGTAAGAAAATGTATAAATGTCATGGTGGGGATCACACGAAGTAAAGTATTTTTTTTATTTTTATTTATTTATTTATTACACTATGTTTATTTCCATAAATATTATATATATATATATATATTATATTATACTATTCGACCCTCCCGCAATCATTGCCATGGCTTGCTGGAACATCCACCATTGGCTTAGCCTGAGTTTCCCAGGGTCCAGTCACATTGACAGCGGGTCATCATGACATCTCCATGGATTCTGAGTCTTTGGTCGTTTCGATACGGGTTTGTCTGAAAATGTTGGGTTAATTTTCCCAATGAAATAACCATTTAATAGGGATAATGATTAATAATGATCAGCAAAACCATTGGGTTTAGGGGTACACTATTTTCAGACACACCCATACTATTCCATACCAATCATGCATGATTGAGGGGGTCAGGGGGTAAGGATACCCCCAGGTACCCCCAGGTACCGGAAAACTCCAGCAATCCGATTAGCAATCCATATAGCAATCCCCTCACCCAGGATCAATACAACATCCGACACCATGTGTACCAACCCGGCGTTGAAAGTCTAGGGACTGCTGGGTTGGGCGGTTTTGGAGTTCGTTGGTTCAACCTCCAAAAGCATCATGGACTGGTCATGTCAAACGGGGAAACCATTGGTTTTGGGTTAGCCTCTTGGAATTTAGGATGATCATCGAAAATCTTATGCTTGCATTGGAAAATCATCAGGTGGGACATTGTCCATAGCTATATACACTAAATTACCAGAGGGTACTGTGATGTATACCTGGGACCTGTTTCCCAAAAAGGGGTGTCCAGGTGTTTGGTTGAAATTTGAAAGGTTCAAGGCATGCTTTTGCAGAGTCGCCTTTGATCGACTATTCAGAAGGAGAGCCAGGAGGAAAACCCGCCACCAGTCCTATGGGTTTAGAATGCTGAGGTATGGTATTTCTTAATTGTTAACCCAATGTTAAAAATCATTGATATGTTTTTCTCAATAGACCTTGGTTGGGTAGTTTGGAACTCTACTCAACTTTTGCATACTTTTGCCATAAATGGACATACCCAACTTCATGAAACCGAGGAGTGAGGAGTATCACAGATTTGCATGTATGTGTTCGTGAATGGACGGGTCCAAGAGTTTACAAAGCCCAGACATCAACGCATGTCCGTGAGATTGTTTGGACATTTCACCAGCTAACTGGTGCTTAGCAGGGAATGAGGGAATGATCCATACTCACTATTAATAATCATCCCATGCCCCCATTCCCATCCATTCCCTACTAAGCACCAGTAAGCCAGAACCCGTGTGAAACAACCTTTAGAAACTCGGGTTCTCCCCGCACATCTTCCCCAGGAGCTTTTCCCGGGCAGTACGTGTCATGTTGGAAACCACTGTGCCATGGCTGCCGGGCCTAGGTTGATCGATGGTTTCTCGGTGGCTGCATCGTGAAAAGCGGGCAATAACAATAGTATAGCCCAGATTAGCCCAGTTGTTTATGTAATTATAAGTATACAGTATGAGTGCACTATTTTTTGGGGATGTTTTTGTTCATATGGGATTTCCGGGGTGCCAAACAGTCGGCCCAGTGGATTCCTTCTTTCTTGGCTATTATTTTCCAACCTTGCGTTCACCATATGGATGTGTCTGAAAATAGGGTATGCCGTATGCCACAATTTCTAGCATTTCGTGGGGATGTGGGAGACTGACAATCAACAATCAATGAATCAAATTTTGGCATTGCCTATTTTTCAGATAAACCCATATGGTCATCGGGGGACGAGTCAGGGGACGAGACGGGAACAAGACCTGCAATGAGGAATTGGAGGAACAGATAGGGGAGGGGGGCGATTACGCTTTTGCCTGTCACCTGGTCCACTGGGGATTCGTACTGTATCACCCCTGGTGGAAATCCCGGCCTGACTTTGGGATGAACCGGCCACCAAAGCATCGACGAATCCCATCCCCCCAATATTCAGAACCACTCAGAAACCACGGGGAGTAGCAAGGGATTGATTCACATTTGGGACCATAGAATGGGGGTGTTGAATAATTTTTAGTATGAAGGAGATGGGCTTAATTCAAAAACTGAAACCAAATCAAGAAACCCATTGGGATGCTTCCTCCAATTTGCAGGCTGACAAATGCCTGCAGGTATGTAACTCGGAGGATATCCGAGCACCACTTTCGATCTGGTTTTCAGGTAAACAAAAACAAACTGATGAGTCTAAATATCAACATGTGGATTCATCATTTCATCATGGTTCAAGCCACACAACATCACATATATAACTAGAATCTTCATGAATCTTCATGAATATCAGATACTTTTTATATTTCTAGGGCTTCACTTAAATGTTTCCTAAAGAAATCTATCAGTCCCTGGGTGATTTCAGCTCCAGAGTTCCGCTAGGTGGCTCTTTGGTGGTTGTTGATCGGCGCGGGCGCCTTGTTGTACATGTATACCTACTTTGTGGCTCAGCCGATGGATGGGAGGGTGGTCAGAGTACCCCGAAGCCGATGGAGCCCAAGTTTGACGGAGTTGTGGGATAAAAAGGACTGTGTTGTCGGAGTTGTTTGAAGTTGTGCAATCCATATCCATGTTCTCCAGATTTAATCATTTCAGCAGGAAAACGTAAAGTTTGAATGACAAAACCAGTTTGGCGGTTGTTTTGATGTTGTTATCTCACTGGCAACTAGGACTTAGAGGCCTATGACCGTTTCTTCAAACATGTGTTTATTCAACCATAATGTTGCAGATGGTTTGAAATGTCAAAACTGCCATTAAACAACAGCCCTTTTTGGATCCAATATCCAATCATATCCTTGGTGACGGCCAAGGGCTCCCAGTGAAGCTGGTTCCTTTTCGGAACCTCCATGCTGAAAAGAAAAGCCATGGAATTGGATCCTAAGATACTGCAGTTGTGGCCCTAGAAACCAGTTGCAAATGGGTTATAGATGGGGTTATTGCTCCATAAATATCCATAAATCGGGCTATAACTATCTAGGACTGACGTATAACTGGATTAACTGGTAATTGCCATGACTCTGGGAATATGAGCAACCAGAGGGATATCTCATCAGTTTCCAAGCAACGATCCTAGAAAACGTGGGAGTGTCTGAAGATGGGGTCGAATCCCTTCGACGAAGGCGCCATTCTAGTGGGAATGATGATCAACCATTGAATTTTGGGGACTCCATTTTCAGACAAACCCAGTTGGTTGATGGAAAACAACCATGTATATCAATGTATTATATTATATATATATACATATATGTATATATATATATATATGTGATGTCATCCAATGCAGACATGGCCATTAGGCTATGTTTGGGCTATCATATTCTATTCATTGGGTCATCAGCTACAGCTACATGGTTTGCTGGTGGAGAACCTACCATTTACCCTTTGGTAAACTAACATAGCTGTTGAAAATCACCATTTATAGTAAATTTACCCATTAAAAGAACAGTGATTTTCCATAGTTACGTTAGTTTACCAGAGGGTATATCCATTTTTTTCTAGTAAACACCTAGCATTTATATAGTAAACAGTGATTGTCCCATGACAAACTTCACTTCGAGGATTTCCCATGGGAAAGGGCTTCTTCCCAGGCAGATTACTGGGATGGTTTTCTGCCTCGAAGTTTGGTGCTAGGCCGGCATCACCTTGCGGCTACCCCGTGATTTTTTGTAGGCGAAAACAATATACCATGGTTATAACCTCCATAGAAGTGGTTGATAACCTATTTGTGTATATATATATACATATATATATGTATATATTGCCCACATATTATAATATATATATATAATATTATATGATATTATATGATATCCTATTATATTATATATACACACCATGTCGATCCATTTTCTCCATTGTTTCACATGTTGGTTGGTGCTGCTTCAATTTTCATGCATAGATTCCAATAGATGTTGTTTTCCCACTTATTGATTCATTGAAAAATGGAAGAATCCTGTAATCCTTAATTGAACAATTCATTAACCAAATAAGCTAAAGGGGTGTTTGTGCTGGCCAATGGTATTTTTCAAAATCCGACCTGTTGAAATACAATCCGACCTTTCCATAACAACATCGTTGGATTGTTTGAAGACAGAGGGTTACCCCCAAATCCAATGGTTTATCATGGCTTATCGTGTTTTTTTTGAAATGGCCAACGGTATAGAATTACAATTTAATGATAGTTATTGTCAAAGGTTGATAATTAGAGAAGAAAAAATGTATACAAAGCCACATGAGTTTGCAGTAGCCCACATCCTTGCTTTATTCCATTTCAAAGAGTGCGACAAGTGTGATGAGTAGCACGTCTCCCAAATGGCCAATGACTAATACACAATTATAGTTAGCGCTTTATCAGTTCTATATTATTCATCAGTGTATAATGCATATGTAATGACAAACGACTATTCCATACTAATCATATGTGTCGTGGTCAGATGTTGGAGTGTGTCATAGTGATCTACATTCCAACTTGGCCATTGTGACTATGTTTTGAACTGGTGGACCTCCAAAAGGGCTTTGTTTCACGGACATATGACAATCACAATAAACCCTATAGTTTTTGGGGTGCCCAATTATAAGTGGATCCCTTAAACATGACCATTACATTATATATTACCCTTTGGTTATGACTAACATAGCTATGGAAGCCATGACCCATTTATAGATCATGTACCTATTAGAAGTGATGATTGTCCATGGCTATGTTAAATAACCAAAGGGTATATATATATACACACCTTGTGAGAATGGTCTATGCCCCAAACGTGACCGTGGCGCCTGGTTGAGCCATGAAGCATAGCCTGGTTGATTGGTTGATATAGGGACTTATACTACCTATTTTTGTTTGTGATTATGATCACCCATGAGAAACCTATCAAACTAATATCACTTTGGTTAGTTAAGATTCTATGAACATCAATTTTCACGTCACCAACCACTGTGGTTAACCTGTGGTAATCAAACATGGCCCTGAAAATCACTTGTATATGTATATATAATATATATTATATAATTGGATCGTCTATACATGGATGATTTTCCAGTGCCATGTTTGATTACCAGAGGGTACTCAAGATGGTGCTAGCTTGATGATCCTTCCGCAGGCTTGGCGTTGTGGTTGGTCTTTGGTAGCTTCGTTTTGATGATCCACGTCTTTTATCTTTCCGCTCACAACGTTGCTTGGGCGAGCAGACTGTCCCACAAATTGGATCCAAACTTGGTCATGGCCCTTGGACAGTTTGGGTCTTTGAGTCTTTTAACTGTGAAGTGGACGCAGTTTGACCGCAACATTTTGACAAAGTCATTACTGATCAAACATGGCAGGCCCAGCAAACCATGTTTGATTTCCTGGAGGGTATCCCTCCGAGTGATCAATAAATGTAGAGATTGTTGTTTTTTTAATATTAAGATGTTCATATTTCTTACAGCAACCCTGAAGGGATGCAGAAAAAAGAAGGACTAAAATGGTGGCAATTTTTTCACGTGTTAACATGTTCTATTCTATATTTCAGTATAGTAAGTATTTATTCATGATTAACCTTCTTCAAGTAGGTTATCACCCAAAAATCGGATGAGGGGATTCTTTAGTAGAATTCTTATATTTCGCAGTACCCTCCAGTATCCATACAGGTCTTGTAATTCTTGGGTTTCGATTGGAAATTGCTGGGTTTTCCCTTGGAAATTCTCCGCATTGGCTAAGGCTCGTCGGCCGGTCCATGTGCCTCGAGGATCTGAGCTTGAAGCTGAAGAGGCAGCTGATGTCATGTTGAGATGGGACAAATAAAGTTGGTTCAAATATAATAACCAGTGTGTGGTTTATACTAAATAGATGAATGATTATGACATGTAGAAGAACATATTGAGAGACACATAAAGTATACATATAATAACCATTGTAGTAATGATTCTATGGTAGATATGTAATAACCATTGTAATAGATTATAACCGCGAGCAGAGCCTGGCTCCGTAAGTGATTGCGTACAAAGAAAGCCTCCGAAAACATGGTTTGAATGGGGTGTTCCCCAATATATATATATATATTGCATAAGATGGGGAAGAACATCGGAAAAAGCATCGGGAGAACTAGAATGTATGGGATAGTTATGGGATAACTATGGGCAGTTTATGGGATAACAACAGGATAGTTATAATTTAACTAGCAAAGCATCCCAATAGAGATTTATGGTTGGGTTTACCATGTTATCATTAAACCCTAAACCATTGTGTGTGTATGTTTGTTTGGTGATGTTTATTGTTCTGGTCATTATGTGCTTATTTTAACCATCTCAACTAACATCCTGACCCTGAGAATTACAGTAACTAACATTGTTGGAATTTGTTTACCACTAGTTCTGACCCTGGGATAAACATACAACAGATGTGGAAAGAAACAATGGGGAAACCTGCTCGGAACATGATCTGCACTTCTGGTGGATTTTGCACGTCGATGGTAGTTTACAGAAGTGATTTTTTTTTTTAAATGAATTTGAATCATCCCCTAAACTAACATCTTGACCTGAGAATTAACAATTTTCGGAATTATGATTGCAGGTGATTGCAATGTTATTCCGCACAAAATTTTATGAACTCATATCAACTCGAAGTTTTTCATTAAATGGTTCTTTCTGGTTTGTGGTTTGGAAATGTGGGGATGCCCAGTTGGTGTTGATAACAATGGAATTGTTACCAATTACCAAGAAGGGGGGGGTATTGTAAAAATATCATTTCAGTATTTGGTGGTTCGGAGGAAACCAAGGTTATAGGAGGAGAGACCCAGCAACAGAGGGACGTAACAAAAGGAAAAGCAATAACATGTGTTTTATCAATCATTTTCAATCATAGATGTAGGGTTTTCGAAGTCCGTCTCTGAAAACCATGGCATTTTTGTTGCAGTTTTTTTTCACTTGGATCAAGAGGTGGACTCCCCAAAAAATACGCCACGGAAGCCGCGGCCAGATGAAGAAAAAGAGTTCCCCTCTGATGGACTGCCGGGTAAGACCTGGTTGGATTCCTAGAAAACCATAACGGTGGTTGGTTAACTCACTAAAAAAGGCCACATCGACCAATTTTTACCAAGCAGCTGGTTGGGATTGTTTATGATGTTTATGGTGATACTGAGAGTATTAGGGGTATGATGTATGTGTACAATCGTGTGTGTATACATTTACAGTACGCTCAGTACACGCTATATATTTTTGGGTGTCTTTGATCGCGGTATTCGACAGATGCTATCCATGGTCGGTTGGAGATCGGACCCCGGTTTGCCGGTAATCTCCTCATTTTTTGGTTTATTTTGGTATGGTTCTACTGTAAATTTTGTGCCCCCGCAATGGTGTATGGAATGTTTTATAAGTAGAACATGATTCAAGACATGTGGCTTTGTCTCAAACTGGGCTAGAAATCCTCGAGCTAAATGGAGGAGATCAAGCAAGTCATGTTGATTACCGGACAGTACCCGGGCAGAAGCCTCCCCCATTTCAGCCTTAAATAGAACTAGTGGTGACCTCCAAGTATGCTGCTAGTGAGGTTATGTTGAATCTTATCTTTGTATCATTAATAACCCCAAGAACTTATGATTCATATGGGTTCAATCATTGGCTGTGATGAGAAACCCTGTTGGTTGATGATAAGTTCGGGGGGTTAACGATTATGTATAGGGGCATTCCAAAATAGTCAAGGACTCTTGATACTGTAAATATTCCTTGATAAATATGTGGTTGGTTGACGATTTTTAGGGGGAAACTACATACGCTTACCCTTGACACTAGTCTGCGGTTTCCATCATGAACTGGACATCCTATTCTTAGCCAACCACGGCGTCCCAGAGTTCGGCTCGGCAGAGAACCGATTGATTGGGAATTGTGGTGCGTGGTTCGTTCAAAAAGATGCCGAGTTAGGGCTGAAACAACAACAACAATCCAACAATTTTAAATAAAAAACAAGACAACACAGTTACTTACTATGCACTCCACCATTGGGAAAATTTTTACACCCCAGTTTCTAGAAGTGATGGATGATTCACCCCTGGCATTTGTAACAAATCGAAAAAGAGAAGATGAACCGATGGATTTCCGCTAGCAGCCTCTCTTTTAGACAGGTTCAATGGGTTAGAAATTGGTACCCTCTGGTAAACTAACATAGCTATTGAAAATGGCCAGTTATAGTGGATTTTCCCATTAAAAATGGTGATTTTAAATAGCTATGTTAAATTACCAGAGGGTAATTCTACACCAAGATGGTACCGATGGATTTCTGATTTGTCTTTGGGGTAGAATTACCAATGATCTTGAAAACCGATGGAAACCGTGATCTTTTGGTCAGTTTTTTGGTATACCATTTGCCCGGAATCTATGATGCCAAAGTTTCTTGCCCATTGATGGATTACATTGGTTTATTTCTGTTCATAAACTAGAAGTTCGATGTGGATAACCCACCATGAATATAGACCATGATCCATCATTGTCCATCATTATCCATCATTATCCTAGGGTTTCACCATGAGTTTTCATGAGTTTTCCACATCTATGTTGGTTTAGCCATGGTTTAGCGGTCCTCCATCAATTGCTACCATCGTTACCCAGGTCGACCCATACTTAGCCATCTCCAGGAGAAGGGTTTGTCCACGATTTTCGGCGACTTACACGATCCGAAAGATGAAGCTGATGAAGGTGGGAAAGATCGGGTGTATCAACATGTATCAACGGGACATGATGGGATATGATGGTTACCCTCTGGTAAACTAACATAGCAATGGAAAATCACCATTTTTAATGGGTAAATCCACTATAAATGGCCATTTTCAATAGCTATGTTAGTTCACCAGAGGGTAAGCATTATGGAATTACTGAAACCATTATGAATAGGATATTTTTATGGATGATGGATGGGGTATTCATGGGATATATATAATGAGGTTGTAATAGTAGATATATGGAGGTGTCCTAAAATGTGGGTAGCCCAATAGCTGGATGGCTTATCATGGAAAATCCTCTTAAAATGGATTGTTTTGGGGGGAAGTAGCACCAGTTTAGAACCTCCATGTGGGTGGGTATCTATCCCTATACTAAGCCGAAGTGTTCCAGGTGGGTGAATCATGATGTTCAATCCTGAAATTTGATGACGAACATGCTGATGAAATCTGGTCTGTTGGTAAACGATAATCACAATTGTGGAACATGTGTGAGTTCATCTCTTGATTTTTCATAGCATTGGGAAACTTATTCCATGTTCCCAATTTTCCATAGTCATTCCCAAGATTGGTTGATGGTTGGGTTATTCCATGTAGCTGTCCTTCCCATTGGAAACGGGTGGACATGGTCGCCTGCTGGTTGGTTTCCATCCCTAAACCTGGTCAACGGTGCATAACGGTGCTATGGCATGTGGTCAGATCCATGTTTTCCTTGAGGTGGTTAAAACATGTTAAAACTGGGCATACATTCACTGGTTGGTGGTTTCAAGTTTATGTTAATGATGTGTTCATATTAGATCCCGTGGATTAATATCATAATATCGTTTCATATGTTTCAGATGGTTTTGACTCCACAAAGGAATTTCTAGATATGTTCAGATTGTAGATCTTTGATAAGATACCCAACATGGCACCCTTCAAGTGAGTTCAACTATTTCACATGGCCCATTGAGATCATATTTACTTCGACGAGTTGCGGATTTGACAAAAGCGACTGTTGAATTACCAAAGGGTATGCATGTTGAATCATGATCCCCTGCGACTTCCACCCTGCCATATTTGCACTTTAGATGGTTTTTGTTCGGCTAAACATGGGCATTGTATGGCCATATCTTGTGGAGTAACTCCCCCCAGATCCTCCCCAGACCCGGAAGCCAACACGGAGAAGAAGGAGAAAAGACTGGAACCGGAGGAGCCCTCAGCACGGTCGATTTCTAGGGTCCTGTATGCTATAAAGGTCCATTTAAGGGGGCTATCAGTCATAGACTGCTGGTCATAAATGGTCATAAGTTCTATTAACATTCTATTACATTAATGACATATATCCAAACAAACGCTAAAGTTGGATTCTGACGAACAAGATTTGGATAAACAGAGAAACCATGTAGGGCAATGTCCAGTTGTTTTGCTGGCGAATGAGAGAAGAATTTCCTGCTCTATTTCCACCAGCCAAAGTGAAATTTCACCAAAAACATGTTTTCTACCCGAACACTTTTAGACCACATTGACCAAAATTCCTAGATGATTGCGTACAGTTTCACCCTGGGAATCCAAACTCATGGATGAAACCCATTAGATCCTATGTTTTTGTTTGATTTTTGGTTAATCCCCAAATTCACCGGTCGATCTAAACCTATAGATCATATGTTTGTTTGTATCTTGTTTGTTAATTCCCAAATCCTATTTTTGTTTGATTTAGATCCTATTTTCCATATGAAAATAAACAAAAAAATATAGGTAGAACAGATTTCCAGACAGCCGAAGGACTGGGATGTGCGGAACTGCCTAAATTTGGGGCGCCCGGCTGAGTAACTGAGGAACAGATAACACAAATGGTGGGTGCAGTTGGAATGTTTTTTTTCAATGTGAGGCCCCGGAAAGGAAATGAGTTGGCTGAAAAAAAATCCATGAACAATATTCTTATATTGGTATAAAGCATCATATAAAGTAACCAAATTAGTTTCATATAAACCCCATTCTTCTTTATGAACTTTTTTTTTTTGGAGTTGTAAAGCAAAGTTACTAAGTTAGCTCTTTCGGAAAGCCACTCGCCATGGTCAGTTAGAAACCCCCAAGGGTGGGATCCCGGTATCGGAACTGCACCCCCGGAGGGTCTCAGTCTTTGGTTTCTGGATGGTGCCCATGAAAAATTCCCATGAAGCTGTTGGAAGAAAAACAACACACACGCAACATATGTATATATATATATGTATATATCTATGCATGTGGTATAGAATGTATAGATCTATATCATATATGCATTGTGGTATAGATCTATAATGATCTATATCACCCACATATTCCCTCATGATATCCCCATTGCTATACTGTATTACTCACGGCAAACATGTCCAGCTGCCGTCGATCGCTTAAGAGCCGCTGAAAAAGTTGTTGCGCAACTTCCGCTGGGTCAGTTGTTTGTCATAGACTTGTTGGGTTTGCATGTGATTTCCGCTGTGAACCCCAGCAAAAGCCAAACTCAGGATCAAGTCTTTAGGTCCAGTTTTTTTCATATCTTCCACCATCGGAAACATCTCCCATATTTTTTTTGTTGTATGGTCGAATCCCGCCGGTGATGATTGCACAAACATGCTGATGAAGCAGTAGCTGGCTGAAAAATCTTTGACAGAATAGGGTATGCCCAGAAGAGCCTATATAATTTCATGTCGTTTGAAACGTTTGAACTCTTCTGAACGGTGTAGTTCAAAAAACAAGAGTTCAAGGATGTTCTGAACGGTACTGGAACTTGAAGCTGTTTGGAATACCGGGGTTGTTAATGTGGAGCTGCTTGGAGCTAGATTTCTGGAATCCATGGCGCTTAAGTAAGTAGCCTCCAGTGCAGGACGCGCTGGAACACGAAACTTGTGGAGAATCTTCCGGTTTTCATCACTTTTCCACATCTATCATATATAGATGTCTATTATATCTATATATAATGTGTACACCTATTTCTATCTATCAATCAAATCTGAATCTAATCTAGTCCAACCTAATCGAATCTATCCATCTATCCATATATTATTTATCTATTTATTTATCCATCCATCCATCTATCTATCTATCTATCATAGAATTGGATGATGGGATTTTTTACAGGAAAGCCCTATATTTGATGGTAAAAACCATGGTTTCCTGTAGATTTTCCCTTAAACCAATCCAGTGAATCTATCTATCTAATCTTTCTAGTCTATCTAATCTATTTTTTCTATCTACATCTATCCAATCTAACCTGTTTTGTGTATCTATCTTATGACCTTCAAGCCATGCACCGAGGCTGGTGCCTGGAAGGCTCCTGGCGCATCTCCGCCGTGACGCTGCAGCTCCGCGGGCGCGGGACTCGAAACGAGCCGTGAGCTTTTTGGGGATGTCGCTGTTTCCGGACCTTCCGAGGCGTAGATTCAATGAGTTTGGGGAATATATAGAATTATATTATAATATTGTATGGTATATATAGTGTATATATATATATATATATTAGCAGTATCACTAATAATGATTATGATTATGATTATTACTATTAGTATTCGGGGAATGATACCCAACTAGTTTGGGAAACATGGGGAATATAAGAGTTATTTATATATATATATATGTGTATACAAGGGATCATGGTTGATTTTTGTTGAACCATCTTAAGCAAATATCTAAGAACATGGACGAAAATGAGACGTTAGCCAGCTAAGAATCAGAAATTTGACCAGCAATATTGTGGCATTAACCGGCAAGAGCAAGCTGTATTTCACCAAGAAACATGTGGTCTTAGCCAGAAAAAAGTTATGTAACCATCAAACACATTGCATTAATCAACAAAACTATGGTCTTTATCAATGAAGAATTGACTGGGGTAAGTGTTGGTGGTTGGGTGAAACCCAAAAAAGTGAATTTAGCCATCCCTAAACGTGTTAAAACCAGCCAGAATGCAGATAGACTTGATGTTAAGAGACCAGCACTATAATACGGAGTGGCTTGATGGGTAAACATCTTCACCACAAATATCGGTATTTCATGGTTTCATCGATGGAATATCAGCGGCAAGTTTTCCCACGGATGTGTCTGAAATTTTTCGGGAGCCTGAAATTGGAGGCTATACCACCAATACATGGGATATACACGGATATACTGAATCGGACTTATATAAATAATGATGTATACACATAATCTGGTTGGGGAAGCCTTGTGGAAACAGGAATCCTCGCCGTAAAACTAATTAGGCGCCTGGTGTTGTCAGTCAATTCATTCACATCTAGTCTGGAAAAAAACAAACGATTTTAGGGATATGGGATCTGTGGGACATGGGACTGTGAGCTACTTAGATGTTGCTGAGGTGGATATGGAGGTACCCATACCTTCTAATTGAACATAGCTATGCAGAAGCACAATGTTTACAAAAGGTACATCGAACTAAGTACCTGGGTCTACATGCACCATAGATCCATAGCAAGCTGTAAGAAAGTCTGAAACATTGGTGTTATTTGCTTTACCACATTCGATCACCATTGAGGTCCAGTAGATATTTGATCAGGAGGGTAACCATTCGGAATACCACTGGATATCCCCAAATCAACTGGTTTATCATCATGTTGTTGCCACAAAATGGCCGAACAAGTTGGATGTAAATACAAGCGACCACACGGACCGCCGAAGAGCGACGCGCGGACCGCGAGGTTGGTGTTTCTCTGCGAGCGTCCGCTCCTAGAGCAGTGTGTCTGGTGGCCGCCTCAGAACGTTCATAGAAAATCATAGAAAAGGTTGAAACACTATCATCATAGATGTCCCAAATTCCCATTGGTTGATTAATAGAGGAGGTTGTTTACCCCTTTAACAGGTTTCTATGATGATAGATGGTGGAATTGTTAGGAAATCACCATCCAACATCTGGAAAACTGTGATCTTTTTTGGGCCTTGTGAAGGCAGACGGGCTGCCCCCAAAAATGGGGGTCTTTGGCTGTGAAAACCTTGGCGGAAAGGCCATCCTAGGTGGGGGAAGGTATCTAAATGTTGTCAGGGAAGGATTGCTAAAGACATCTATGGCAAACTTGAGTCATAGGGGTCCCCAAAATGTGATAGAAAAGGCAAATCACAAACCGATTAGGTTGGATTGATTCTTTTGCGGTGCGTAGTTATGTAAATTAGGATCCCATAAACATGACGTAATACTACTCAATGCTTGTTTGATGGGTTTGGCATTAAAAAAAACACTATAGAATGGAGCTATACATTGTCTTAGTGACAACGCAGGAGGATATGGGGAAGGCCACTGTCTGGGAAATCTGGATGTGTCCAAGAATATGGATTTTTGTGGTATATAATATACCACAAAATGGCCAAATCTTGAAGTGCGGCTAAAAGTATGATATATATATAACCATCTAAGATTATCCATCTATATGTTTATCTATTTATCTTATCTTATATTGTCTTATCTTATATTACTTACATTATATTATCCTATCTTACTTTATTTTATCCGTCTTATCATATTTTGTTTTATCTTATCTGATCTTATATGATCTTATCTTATCTGATCTTATCTGATCTTATCTTATCATATCTATCTATCTATCTATCGATCGATCTATCTATCTATCTATCTATCTATCTATCGATCTATCTATCTATCTATCTAACTAATCTATCCAATCTATCTAATCTATCTAATATATCTAATCTATCTAATCTTATCCATGTAATCTTATCCATATTATCTATCTTATCTATATTATTTATCTTATCTATCTGATCTATCTTATCTATCTTATCTATCGATCTATCTATCTATTTATCTATCTATCTAATCTAATCTAATTTGATCTAATCTATCTATCTATATATCAACATATCCATATATCCATTCAATTTGGTGGAAACACGCATTTTTTGAGGTACAGTAGCCCATCTACCATGGTGTTTCAAGCCCACTCAGCAAGCCCATCTTCGAGGCTCTCCCAGCTGCAGGATGTGTTCAAGGTGCGGTGATGTGGGACTGGCTGGAGGATCTCCCATCTGGACCATCAACAGATGTTAACTATTGGTAACTGATGGATAGTGGTGAATGATTAGTGGTTTATAACTCCAATAACTATGGTTTTTATAGGTGATATATCTATAGTTCATGGGATTTTCATGGGTGAATAGTGGTTAGTAATGGTTAATAGTGGTTCATATAACCATCAGCCAACATCTGGATAGTATATTTAATGGATATTTAATGGGATTTATATGACAGTGTGTCAAAACCTTGTACCCCTGGTGAACATCAACATAGCTGGTATTTATGGATGTGAATAACCCACTAAAAATGTATCTATAGGTATTGACCCATACCCATATAATGGACTTCAATCCAATTTAATGGGATTTTAATCCCATTTACCCTGGTAAACATACAAAAAGCTATGGAAAATCACCATCTTTAAGTTCGGTAAATCATCGAACTAAATGATCCATTGTCCATGTCCATAGCTATATTAGTTTACTAGAGAGTATGGCCAAACTACTATATTAGTTTACTGGAGAGTATGGCCAAACTATGCATTTTCATGCAGATCTTGCAAGAATTCGATCTGTAGCCCACATACTGCCAGAGGTAAATGGATGCTGGATCCACAACGTATATACTGTAAAATATATCTCAAATAGAAATGGCTTAAGACTTTTGACGCCAAAGGGTGAACTCTGAACATACCTCTTAAACAGATTACATTTTTGAGGATGATTAAAGTGATCAAAGCAATAATCTTGACCCATACCATACTTTGTTTTTCACTTTTTTGTCATCTCCTTGTGACAGTTCCCAAATGTACCTGTTTGTATCTTGGGAATTGATGGAACAAAAACATTGAGCTTTCTCTGTCGTCAGAAATTGTTTCTGAAATATGCTCAAGTACGTCGTTCTCCATGTTTCATTGGTTCATTGGTTCAGCTCACATTTCCTGATAGGCCCACTCCACATTCCGAAGCCTAAATCTCAGCCACATCCCCACATGTCCTGTGATAGATCTTGATTTCCATCAGCGACCTAGTCGCATGTTGGTCCCTACACAAACCCAATATATTTCATCAAATTTCCATATTTCCGGTGTCCTAAACTGAGGGTACCCCTAAATTATCATTCAATCATCCATATTTTCATAGGATTTTCCATGAGAAATTCATGAAAATTGGGCTACCCCCATGACTATAGAAACGCTTTGCAGGCCGATGACGAAGAGACCGGGCCTGAGACCCCGGAGCCTGAGGTGGACAGCGAAGCGAGGCGCAAGCTGGATCCGGTCACTGTAGGGTCAACGGTCAACGAAAAATCACTTCGATGTGGGTGCAAAATATGTTCAAATCACTGAACATCATTCATTTCATTTCATTTCAAGATGATTGTCCGAACCGGAAACCATGGTTTTTCCACATCTACGTTAGTTTAATGTACAGTAAGGTAACCGTAGTTTAGCCGTTTATGATGAACCCCTTGCTATGTTTCACTAGATTTTGGTCCCAGTGAAATTATAGACCGCCATCATCTATTTCAATTGATTAGAGAGCATTTAGAGCTAGAACCCGCTGAAATATGATTTTATAATAAGTTTGTTTGTTTTGCTGGTTTTGCACCAATTTACTTGTTGGGCTGAAAAGTGATACAATTGCACCAGAAATTGTACAACAGCCAATTGATACAATAACTTCTGCTACGATTGAGGGTCCAGGTGATACAATCTGTTGTGGAATTGTGTGAACTCAGATAGTTTGGTCATGGTGAATGGTAAAATCAATGGGTGCATCTTCATCTTGCAGGTAGATGAGTGGGTATTGCATAGTCTGCAGTCTGCTATAAAAGTTATGTCTATACCGAAAAAAAAACGCTAAATAAGTAGATACAGTTACATATTACATACATATATATGATAAATACATATGATATGTATTTATATAAATATAATATTATAGAAGACTTATATTATTTTGTTTGTGCAGTTTGGTTGGTCAGTTTCAAGTACTTGCAATATTTAAGGGAATAACGATCATTACAGATCCATTAAAAAAACAGCTACCTTAGGGTACGGGTCCCAAGGGTTTGACTCAAAGCAATTATAATATATGTGCATATCAACATTTCCATGTTCGGCAATGGAAAAAGTCCTTCCATCATATTGTAACTCTATTGATTTATTATCCATGTATAATCCATTTAGTATAAACCACATGTATCCCTTGATTTTCCACTCAATCAGATGGTTATTACATGTCATTGCCCAATATTATCCACCAAAAGATGGTCATGATCTATAGATTGTCATTATCCAGTCATTTTCCATGTACTATCCATTCATTATCCACTAAAAGACTGAGTCATGATCCATTTGGATGACTAGTACCATGTTTCGACCATGGCACATATGTGGCTTCATGAACATTTCCCATGGATTTTTCACTAACAGATTGAGTCATGACCCATTTCAATCATTTATTATTTAATTAGATTTTCCACTCAATCAGATTGTAACTGGTTGGTGGTTTGGAACATTTTTTATTTTCCATAATATATGGGATAATCCTTCCCATTGATTGACTTTCATATGTTTCAGAGGGGTGGCTCAACCGCCAACCAGGTAATGTACCCATGGATTATCCATTAAAAGATGGTCATTTGCACCACCAACCAGCATGGTCAATAGTAATGGTTGATATAATAGTGGTTAACCATATATTGACCATATATTAACCATGGATTTTCCATTAAAAAGATTGTCATTTGCTCATTTATAGATGGTTTACCTATTAAAAATGGTGGTTAACCATATATTAATCATATATTATCCAGGTAATATTTATAGATGGTTTAACCTATTAAAAATGGTTAACCATATAAGATGGTCATCCTCCCAGCTGAATTCCTCCAGGTCTCTGAGCGTCCGCATTCAGCTGATCGACTGTCGGGGGGCAAAAGGAGGACTCGGAGAACTCAAGGGACGCCTGAGATGACCAACGGATGACGTATGGGATTTCTTTTGTCGGATTACCATGGGATAACTATGGCATAAATCTTGGATTACTATGGGATAAGCATTGATAAGCATGATAAAAACCATGAATTCAGATTCCCAAGAATCTGTAGACCTAAAAAATCATGATATTTTTTCTGCTTGATCTGATAAGAGTATTGCCTACCCGGCCGACGGCCCAGTCACCCAGTTAATTGTGTTCTTTTTTATAAAGCGTGGCGATGGTGGATTTCGATGGTCCATTTACTTCGATCATTTAGCCATAGGACCGATGGCTTCACTGAAGGCTCAGCCGGTCAATCAGATCATGGTATGCTCATGTAGGCATGTTAGGTACTATTATGTACTATTGTCAATCCCCATAGCAAGCAAATGCGAGCAATCATAATCCCTTATTGCAACCACTAACAAGACATAATCATGTACATCTATTACTGTGGCTAGATTGGCTATCATTAGACAGAACCTGAAAGTGTGGATTACTATCAACAATTTGCCATGCTGTCAATGAATATTGGCTTCTGATAGTTCCTATTTACCAGCAATTGATAGTTCCTATCAACTTAGATAGATAGATCGATAGATCGATAGATAGATATAGTAACATATAGTGACATGTTGTAACATATACTAACATATACTAACATATCGTAACACATATATAGTAATATATATTATATAGTAATATATATTATATAGTAATATATATATATATAGTAATATATATATATACACATAGTAATATATATATATAGTAATATATATATAGTAATATATATATATAGTAATATATATATATAGTAATATATATATATGTATAATATAGTAACACATAATAACGTGTAGAAGCCTTTGTAAACTCTTAACTATTAACAATCAACTATGAACTATTAACTGTTAAATACTAACTAGCTACTAACTAGCTATTGATAGCTCTTATTGACCATCATGGTTACCACTCTTAGCCAGTAAATTATGGTGATCATCAATATGGTTCCTCCCAACAATTTTTGCCAGCGCTGTCAGGTTTCATGGATCTTCCCTCCAAGTCCAGCTGGAATTCGTCCAAGCAAGGCCCAGATGGGATTTTTCCGGAAGGATGTAGTGATTTCACTTGAGAATTGTCGATGGATTTCACTTGAGAATTCCATGGTTAATCCATGAAGGTTACTAAGTAACGGTGAACCCATTGGTTAATCCATTTATAATAAGCATGATAAAGTTTGATTCACTGTAACCTGAGATGTTTAAGCGCGAGATGGGATGTGAGTGAAGCAAAGCTGCTGAATTTTGTTGCCGCAAAACTCGGCATTTGAGCCACATTCGGAATTGGGGGAGATTGGGACATAAATATTTGGGACATTTGGGTGTTGACATATATATATATATATATACAGATATAAATATGATAACAAACGGAGGCCGTCAACCACTGATTGTGAACTAGGGCAGGATTGAGGAAACAAACTAAAAAGAATGAACAACCATTTGCATCCATTGCCAGATGTTGTTCTTTACCATATATATATATATATACACACATATAACATCCAACAAGAATCAATAGTATTCATAATGCACAAGAAAACACATTACCCTCTGGTAATTTAACGTAGCTATGGAAAATCACCATTTTTAATGGGAAAATCAACTATAAATGACCATTTTCAATAGCTATGTTAGTTTACCGGAGGGTAAAACAAAAACCTCGAATCATCCGAACGAAGCCTCCCCACATTCGTAACGTTGCATGGGCCAGCTCCGAGATGCCGTGTCAGGTGAAGCACCTGCCAAGGACAGAAGCGCGGCGGAGTCCGGTGGACTTCGCTGGTTTTTATGTTTGGTTTTACTATTTGCTTGGTGGTTTCAAGCATGTTTTTAGGGATCAACTATTAACTATTATAACTATTATACTGGTTGGTGGTTTGGAACATGTTTTATTTCCATATTATAATATATGGGATAATCCTTCCCATTGACTTTCATATTTTTCAAGATGGTTAAAACCACCAACCAGCTATGTTAACTTCATGGGATTTCATAGGAACTAAATCAGAATTCCCGGATTGATTAAAAATGAGATGTCCAATGGTAGAAAGGATTTAGAATTCACAGAATCTGGATTCCGATCTATTTGGATTCCAATGGATTGTACATCTGGATTCCAAGTCATTAAGACGTTGGGATTGGATATTTTTTGCATATTTTTGCCGGATAAGCTTTGGGAATCAGGAAACCAGGTAACATAAGTATTTCAACACCCAGATACCCTCTGAACTAGCATAGCTCTGGAAAGTCGTGCCGTTTTTCATAGGTATATTCGTATATTAGTCAGTTTTAAACGGCTCAGTACATGTTCAACCTATACTTAATAGGTTATATGAGTTATATGAATCAACCAACAATGATATTACACATCAACTATAAATCAACACTGTAAATGGTACATGTTCGATAGCTACGTATCAAGGTTCTGGTACTGCTACTGCTACTGCTACTGGGCTCTCCGGAGCCGGTGCTTTAAAAAACCCAAAGTCCTCGTCGGGGATTTCATGGTGAATTTCATGGGGATTTCATATTGACAAAAGGGATATGTTTGAAAGATATAATGATCATATATATGATTATATGACATAGTTCATGATCAAATGATATCAAATGATGATCATTAATGAAAATTAGAGTTGTTAGATATTTTAGATGATATAAACCTATATAAACCATCGAAGCACCCATATTTTTTGGGCGGCAAAAGGTTGGAAGGTGGTCTTCCAAGCCTCCAATTGTCGCGGGGTTTGTATGTGCTAGGAGCTGGAACCACTGGATGAGACGTGGCGAATGGAATCTTGGATCGATGGGAAAGGCAAGGAACGGGTCGTGTTCAACAAAGGAACCATTAAAGATTATGGGATGTTTACTGTCACCATCATGAATGGGATATGATATATATATATATGTTTTTGCGGGGTATTCATGGGATATAATGAAGTTGTAATAGTAGATACATGGAGGTGTTTTAAGGATCTGTTCCTGAAAATGGGGGATCTCTAAGTCACCAACTTGGTTTCCACACTCAATTTTAGTCTAACAACTTGGATGAAAAAAGGGTACCCCCTTTTAGAAGACCTCCAAATGAGCCATTAGTTGATTTGTTAATTATACACGGGGTTATGCTGAGTGGTTAGGCATCATTGCAAAACATACTGTAGTAGGGATACTCATTTACCAGCCAGTGTAATGGTATGTTATCAGGCTATGTTTCAGGGCTCAAAGGAAGTGAGATGGGTTTCTCTTAGAACAGCAAAATCACGCCATGAAAGAAAGTGGCAACACCCATGATTACCATATTCAGGGAGAATAACGATCCATGAAACCCAGCTGCCAGCTATGTTAGGGCCATCCAGGTCAGGTTTCGCCCGTGTTTTCACCAAGGTTCTCGAAGTGACCAATCTGGAAGGTCGCATCCAGACGAAGGTTCGGGTTCGCGGAAGGGTTGACCGGCTCGTCATGTCATTTGGCTTTGACTTACCCTCTGGTTATTCAACATAGCCATGGAAAATTGCCCATTTATAGATGATTTTTCCAGTAAAACCTCCATTTATAAGGGATTTTCCATGGCTATTGTTGAATAACCAGATGGTAAATGGGGTGCAATCCCCCAAATAACCATAAATAGGTTGTATAAACCATTCCCAAATGGGTGGTTTATGATTGTTTTACCCACATTATATAGCATATAACTGGTTCAATGGGGAAAGTGATGATACACCGTTTGCACCAGAGCTTTGGGGTCGACAGAAATCCTATGGCGCTGTGAAAAAGTTTGGAAATCATGATTTGACCCAGGGGACATATTACGTTTATAATCATAGAATCATATATAACAATATTATATATATATATATATATTTATAATCATATAATTATATATATACATAATAATAATAATCATATAATTATATATAGCTATATACTATAGACATATATATATATATATTATCATATATATACACATATTCTATCATATTCTCATGTTTTATATTGAACTGCGTCGACGAGGCTCCCCACCGCGGTAGCCTCCGCTCTGGCCGGCTGGAAGCCTACGTCTCGGAGGGCGCCGTGAAGCGGGCGTCGGTACAGCCCAAGAATGACGGGTGACGGGTGGGATGAAAGTGATACGATTCTCTTGATTTTTGTATAATTGTGTATATATATATACCCCTAGGATCCATGTATGCCATATATGGTAACATTTACCATCAATATACCCCAAATGTTAGCATATATACCATACATGGATCCTATGGGATATATATATATATAGCTATACTATTTTGGTATGATGCTAGGCAAAAATAAAATGACCAATATATTGGTATCCTCGTCATATGGCTAATTATGTATAATTTTCATGAGTTTCTTGAAATATATCATTCCCCAAGGAGTTTCTTGATGAATTTCTTGAACATATATATATATATATAGAGAGAGATCCATTCAGAAGATTCTAATATGATCAATATGTCTATGTATATATATATATATATATACATGCAATATGTAATATGAGGTAGTATATGATGATGTTTATTATGTTGTTGAACCAATACTTAATTTGAAGGTAATATGTGAAAATCATGGTGAATATATCATGATAATAGTGATTGTTGATTTTGGATTAATCAAATATGATATGACTGAGGGATTTTGAGGGTGTTTAATATGATAGTATATGATAGTATATGATAGTAATATATACCCTTTGGTAAATAAACATAGACCCTGAAAAAAAAAACAACAACAATTTTTAATGGAAACTGTTGTCTTCCAACCCCGACAACTGCCAGGGTCGAACTGTTAATTTACGAGAGGGTGATCATCCCTTCCCCCATTCATCAAGGACGACCCCCAGAAACGTTAATGGGGTTTTTTTGATGGGGATGAAACCACACATTTTGATGGGCATTTAATGGGATTGTGTTTGTTAAAGAGGTGGTTCTGGAAAATTACTCATATATCCACAAATAAATGTTGTAGAAAAAGCGACATATTCAGAAATGGGTTTCTTAAAGATTGAGTGAACGATATGTTTAGAGATGTTTTGTGGCTGCTCCAAGCAGATCCAACTGAAAATTACTGTCGTAACTTGTCTTATTGATACATGAGGCTCGATCTTCAAGAAGGAAATGGGAGTTTGAAATTGACATAGCGCAATTTGGTATTTTTGGGTAATACTTTACGTGGAAAAGCCATGAAAACCCATGGTTTTTCACCCTAGGAAACTGATCTACAAATGATGGGATTTCCACATCGAACTGTTAGTTTACCCTAGGGTAATACAGAATTGATTCTGAACCTTTATTCGTTCAAAAGAATCCGTGTGTTGCTAGGGGGAGGGGGGCAGGGCGGAACACAAAAGCAGAGACGGGATTATCACTTGCTCCAAAACACAGTTGCAAGGCTGCAATCAGTTGTTTATCGAAACATTGTGCTTTAGATTTCTTGTCGTTTACCGTAATCTATATAAAAATACATGAATGTACTCATTTTATTCAATAGTTAGTTTTTTATTGTTATAGGTATAAGAATGTTTTTGTTGGTCTTTCTGAAGTTTATTTGCCATTCGGATTTTGTGCCCATAAATGTTCCATAATATTTGACCTACCGTTTGCTAATCAGCTCCATGGTTGGAAAAAATATCCCATTGAGTTCGTTGATTTTCCCAGCTATAACCTGCATTTATAGGATATTGTTCCCATGATTTTCTGATGACTTTCCCAATTTATGGTAGAGAAATGTAGAGAACATGGGATGTCTATCTATTTCTATGGGATTCTTCATGGCAAGCCATGAATTCCTAATGTTTTCGAACGGACGCTTTTTCCGTTCGGATTTCCCATGAAGGAAGAGTCATGATTTTCCCGTTGCGTTGCACTTTTTTCGCCAGGTTGGAGCCATCGGAGGAGATGAACCTTCTTGGTATGGGCTTTGCGTCTTGGCAAAGCAAGAGGGGGAAAGAAACAGGGCTATGAAAGCATTGGTGAATGATATGTGAATGATAGGTGAATGACAGGTGAAGGAGATTTAAAAAGTGATGTTTGCTGCTATAGATTGATAAATGATGATCAATGTGTATATATAATATATAATATATATATATATTATACATATGTATACTAGCTGAAACTGAACTCTTTTTGCAAGGTTGTTTTGGACACGCCAAAGGGTATTATCTCACGGCTTTGCTGGGTATGTTCGAGTTACGACCCGGGTGTATGTTGACTAGTTGTGGTATGAGTGGAATAATAATGCTTACATACAAGATGAATTAACTTCTCGTTATTTGTTACATAGCTATGGTATAGTATAGATGGTCCATTTATAGTAATTTATAGATGCATTGTGATGATTTGCATGTTATATTTATGATGATTTTCCATGGATAGCTTAAATTACCAGAGGGTGCCACTCCACAGGAGGGGTCCATCACAAGAGGCATGGATATGTTATTTCACCCTAGACTGTCTATTCCTCAGAAAACTAGTGCTCATTGACATGTTTTACCCTCTGGTAATTTAACGTAGCTATTGAAAATCACCATTCTCAATGGGAAAAAATCACTATTTATAAATGGCCATTTTCAATAGCTATGTCTGACATAACCAGAGGTTTTTGTCTGAATGGTTCATGCCTTCCCTGGGTTTTTGTTCGCATGTTTCGGTCAGAATCAGGTTCCCTTCTTCGAGATCTCATCGGCTTCATGTAGCACTGCCAAGGACCATCCCCATAGGATCCGGCTGGTGCTGGCATATATGGATGTGGGTCAAAATAGAAGACCTAGGGGACCACAGATGTGAATGTCTAGTGTAGTATTAACCATCCATAATTTTGGGGTACCTAATTTTGACCCATACCCATATGCTAACATGACTGGGGTATATTGATGGGATCCATGTCACCAGATATAGCACCATGGATCCGTCATGGGATCAGTCGTAGTGGTTGAATCTGAAGTCGTTGGGACCTTGGAATCCATGGGATAAATCGATGGTCCACATCACAGGCGGTTCGGTGCATCGAGGTCACCAAAGCTCAACGAGGATACACGACGGTCTTCGATCAATTCTTTCATCAATTCGTTCAACGGTTGGTTGAACATGTGGTAAATGTATATGTAAATGTTGGTAAAATGTGGAACCAACTGGAACAATCGAAATCTTCTCCAAACAGAGCCACAGACCCCCCATTGTTGTGATCACCATTGGCAGGTCCTGGTTGCGATGGATGGTTGCGAAATCCTGCACCAGTTGAGAACTAGAAGGGGATTCCAATGGGATTCCTATGAAACACTGTAAATAATGGGAAAAAATAAAACATCTAGAAACTGGTACAGGATTTCGGAACCAGATGTTAGGATGATTTGGTTATCTAGTGAATCTAGTGACTTTGCCCTTTGGTAATCTACCATTGATATCCATTGATGGTTTGTAAATTTACGATTCCAAGGGCTAAAATCATCTACACTGGGCGGAATGTTTCGTTACAATGTTCGATTGCCATAGGGTTTTATGTCTCACTTTCAGTTTGAATATGCAGGGCTAGCCGGGCTAGTACTTATTACTAAATGACTAAATCTTACTAATCCCTACCTGATTCCCCAACATCCCCTCAAGGGATGGGTTGAACGAGCCAAATAGTCCACGGAAAATTCCCAAAAATCGTCGATTTCCAAAAAAATCCTCGGTTTTTTTGACCAAAAATCGCCAGGGTTTTTTGGTGAAAAAACCCAGTTGTGTTTCCTGAGATTTACCCTAGGAGAAAGAGGCACAGAACATTGGGCAGGGAGGGCAGGGACGGAGGGAGCCCTTTAGCGGAACGGCGCCAGGTGTGATCAGTGGAGGTTAAAACCTTGATTGTCCAGTGGTGTGGCCAAGGAGCTATTAAGAGTTTCCCAAGCGTTTGATAGTTGATGAAGAATATGCGGAAAGGTTTGCCTGCCAACTTAGTTTGTCTAAAAATTAGGTATCCTTAGATTCAGCATAGGGTCAGCATGTAAAACATGTTTCAGAAACTATTCGGCTACAACACTAACACTCTCACTCTGTGGGTATACAAGCAGCAAACATGTGGCAAGCGTGTGGAGAGAAAAGCGCATGCTTTATATGCAGACATGGATAAAGAAGTAAATCTATAATTAAAGTTATAGGTAGGCTTCTCATTACCAGGAATTACTTTAGAAGAAAATATCGTATATATATATATATATAGCCAACTGCCTACCTTAACTTTCAAACCCAACAGTTTTAAGTCATTACATCACAACGCCACGAATCTATCCCAGCCCACATCGCAAAAGGCCGATCCTTGGCTTTTGGGCTACAGGAATGCACCGCCTTGATGAGTATTTTACATGTGCTGTGTGCATATGATTGCTATACGATTTTTTCTGATTCAATTTGGATATAGCACCCAAATGCACTCAAGATGTTCTTATAACATCTTATAACTATCATGTAGTTGAAAAAAACAAGTCCTGCAGAATATTGATAGCTTCAGCCAAGAGACCAGTCCATTGATGCGCTCTCTTCCACCAACCTTGACGGAGGACCATTGTGGAAAAATGCGGGGGCTTCAAGCCTTTAGCAAGCAGACATCGGTTTTGTATGGATCCAAATTCCAGATCCAGGGCAATGTCTTTGGCCGACAATACTAGAAATTATACGAAATTACATGACATTATATATATATATATATGATATAGACTTTGAATAAAATAACCAGTTCAATAAACAGTTCTTTTTCATCGAAATCAAGGGTATTTTAAAGGTTAGCCATGCTGCGGACATTCTCCCAGAATGAATTTATCCAACTTTTATTAATCCTCCAACCTCCGTCCGCCATGGTGACTCCGATGCTGGTCTCGGAGGCTTTTTTTTCCGGGGGCGGAAGGGATGGGCGACCCAAAAAAAACATTCCTTGTCCAGAATAGCATGACCCATTTGGAATATGTACAGTATATATATAATGTATATATATATATCAGTATTATATATATATAATTATACATGATATTATATGACAATGAATCTATGATAATGGAAAATTGGGAATAAAGGCAAGCCCAGAAAGATCGATTTGAGTGATTCGTAGTGATTCACCATGGGCTCATGGGACTCTGCACCAACCACTGGTGCTTTGGCAGTCGTACAACCAAGATTTTTTTTGGTTGTAGGACCAATGACACCACATCAAACACTATAGTCTATAATCTATAAAACCAGCTCTAAAACTGCATCAAATGGTGTTTCTCACCACATACTCTACAACACTTGTTCATCTATAAAACTTCGTCTAAAACTTCGTCTAAAACTTCGTCTAAAACTTACTTGAATACCACATAAACCAAGTAGTTAGCACCCTAGAAATCCCACCTTTTTTGATGTTCCAAACACGTTTAAAGTGGGTGGCCCGGTTCCCTCCAAGTCCCCCCGGTTTCTTTGGCGGCGCTGCAAAAAAGCTTGAGGCCCCAGGAGGTGCGGTGGAAGGAATGCTGGTGCCCGAGACGCCCGGCTGAAGTTCTGGACCAACAGATGGAAAAAAACATTGGCAATTCATGGGATATTCACCAACCATATCCCAAAACCGGTATTTAATTGATGATAATTATGGGCTAATCAATTTAATCAATGGTATTTTAGTGGCTTTTTTCAATGGTATGTTATTGGCTAATCAATTGTCAACCATTCATAAATGTTGATGGGAATATGAATTATCGTTGGTTATTGGTCGATTGGTTGGTGAATATCCCGGTCTTGGGATTGTGATAATGGTGATATGGTTAGTATCCCTTCTGCGAATTCTGGGTCAACTGTTGGGGATTTCATGGTAATGAATTTCTTCATGGGATTTTGTAGGATTTGTGTAGGATCTTTATGGATTTAGCAGATGTTAATGAACCCAAATAGAACAGGGACAAAATACATTTTTATTGAATACTCCAGGGTAAACTAACAGTTCGATGTGGAAAAGCATAGGAAAATGCTGACTGATTCCCAAAGTGGTGATTCACTGGGGTTTATAGCTGGTAACTAGCTGGGTCAACCTTGGTTAGATGCGAACTAGTACTTTAATATGTTTCTATCAATGGTAAAATGTACATTCACCAGCTAAAAAAAATGACAGGTATCTAAGATTCACCATGAATTGACATTCAACACTGTGACCATTATTTGGCTATAAGAGGGTGTCAATTTTGATAATTAACATTCAATACTATAGGATATAACTTATAAGCATTCTTTGTTTAACACTATGATCTATAAGTAGGTCATAACATATTGACCTTATTCAGAAAACGAGTCTGATTGATGTGAATGAATAGTTATTTACCTCAACAACTAATCATGGTTACCATCAGCAATAAATGATTAACCCTACAAATCACAAGAGAGATTCTTATGTCATATGTTGGTATAATCATTAATGTTAAGAGTAATTACTAGCCATTAACCATCATGTGGTCAATAGTTATGAATGTTAACTATACAGTTAATTATAGGGCTAACATTTTAAACTCAACTATGCTGATAATTTATAATGGTGCGGTTAGGCATATACGTCACTAAACCAATCTAAACCATTGTTTTGGGATTGTGTTTTATAGTCGGATGTGATTATATTGTTTATGTTTTAATTTGGTTAAGTGACTTAGTTGTATTACATAGTATTATATAGGTACTGCCAATACATTATATATGGTTAAGTATTAAGGTGTATTAAGTATGTTGCTTGATGTATGTATTACATATTATACATACGGGCCATGCTCCGTAGCTATGTTAAAGTTCCAAAGGGTATATTTCAGGTTGAAACCAAGGGTTTGTTTCGGATTTCCCTTCAGTCAATCCATTGAACATCAGCACCTTTAATGAAAGACACAGAATGGGTGACTGCTCGCAGGGGAACCCGTTGCTAATCCTATGAGCCCTCTGTCATTCCATGAAATATTGGTTAAGAGCAGGATTCCCCTATATATTGAATATAATCCCCGAACTAATCAGCAAGCAACAGGGGTTTTGAACACTGCTCACCTTGGTTCATGTTGAATATTGTTGAAGTCGGAAGTCAGTTTGAACATGTTCAACCCCATGAATCTGGTCACCACATTTGCGATCCACTGCTTAGTCATCATACAGATCAAAATTGCTTACTCCAATCTTCGATGGTTAGTACTAAAATGTACTAAACACATACTCAACAATCTGTGGTCCCTTGTCCGGCTTCAATTTTGATCTATCTCCATAGGTTCTCATTATCTCTTTAAAATGGCTGTATCCCAAGATCTCCAAGGCGCAGTCGCCAGTCTCGACCTGAGGCGGCCAGTCTCCATTGCTGGAGAAAACTGGGGGTAAACTTACCCTAGGGGTAAACCCTAGGGGTGGGCAGTTTGATATAGTTTGATACTGGAAATACTGGAATGTCGCGCCATGTTGAGAATTTTTCGAAGCAAACTAAGTTGATCTGGCTTCCCAGCAAAAAAGCTCCAAACAACTCGTAGAGGGACCATATCACAGATGGGTTTGGGCATTGCTTAGATAAAGCTTTGGTCGCGTCTGAAATTGTGATTGAAAATCGCTTCCAACTGTTCTTGAGGCGATTTGAACATTTGTGTGATTTGTTTCCCATGTATTTCCCCACTTTTTCCGATTTCTTCCTTCCTGAATGCTTCCATGTGGTTCCTCCGACTGGATTTCCCATGGAATCCCATGAAAAAATACCCTCTGGTTATGACAAAAACAGTTCGCCATGGTTAAGCCATGGCCCGGATTTCGAAATAGATGGTTTACCGTTCTTAAAAACGAGTGGATCTTTCCATGGCAAACTGTTAGTCATAACCAGATGGTACATCAACTAATTGAGGCATAGTGTTTTTCTTTGTGCCATTGAAAAAGGCTGGGTAAACTCGAGCCATGTTCCTGGCTCACAGGAAGTGTTGAAATTCTAAAACGCGTAGCCTGATGGTTCGATAGGGTGATTTCACCGTTTACGCGGAAAGGGAAAAAGGACCCTCAATGATGATTACCACTAGTGAATGCGTTTGAAAGATGACTGGTTCGTGGTTTAGAACATGACTACATGACCTTTATTTGCCCCAGTAGTTGGGATGATGATCCAATCTGACTTTCATATTTTTCAGAGGGGTAGGTATACCACCAACCAGATGAGTATATATATATGATTATAAATGCATCCAACATTTGATCATTTAGATACAATTATCCTCCTTGAAATAGACAGTTCAGCTTCTCAGTTTCAATGGGGGGATTTTGCGGATAGCTCTCCATGGATGAATCAAGATGTAGGAGACTATCATTGGGGGGTAATGCTATGTGACGATACCATTATTCAACTCAGGTAATCCCATAATATGATGGTTAAATCAAGTTAAATCCCATGGCCCATATGTAGTAACCTGTACATTATAGTAACCTATACAAAGACGTATGCAGAAGTCATAACTCCCAGCTATGTTGCTGTGAAACCCCCAATTGGATCAATATACCCATCAAAAAAAAACCATCTTCAGGAACCCAGTTCCCGACAGTTCCCGACTGCTCAGACCAATCGGCCTCGTGAAAACCGAGAGCCCTTCGATTTGTTGGATGAGCTTTACAAGTCCGGGACCGTAGTGGGACCCGTAAATTGCCGGGACCTGTCCAGGCTGTGCAGCAACCTTGATGAGGCCCATTTAATGATGCTGAAGGGGAATCATCCCAGAATCATCCCAAATATAGATTGTCCAGTAATTTAGTTTCTTAATGGAAAATATCACCGATTTAAATTTGATTCTCCTACATGTTCCTTGTCAGAGGGTGTTGGAATTGCTCCAAGTTGCCCAGAATTTATGCGGCGCTCTCGAAATTTGGAAAACAAAAACATGCAGTGACTCCACGACACGCAAAAAAACATATCCTAACAATTCCTAACATTTTCCTATAGCTGAGAAGTCAGCCAAAAATCGGATGAAGTATAAGTACACCTCCAGATTAATTTGCACAGTTTTTCATAGCCAACATGATTAAGAGTTGTTGGGCACCAGTTGGGCCTGTCCAAGGGGTACGGCACCTGGTTAAACATCATTTTTCTCTATCACACTTGCCATATTTTTTTTGTGGATAAATGCCCCGTGTTCGATTTTCATCCCATGTCCACTATTAGTCAAATATGGAGGTTTCCATAAATGTGGATATCCCAAAATGGATGGTTCATGATGGAAAATCCAATTAATATGGATGATTTTGGGTACCTCCATTTTAGGAAACATCCATATGGTTAAACCAACCTCTTTTTGATCGTATACCTAGCCACTGAAGCCACCATTTGTTTACCCTTGGGTCTCCACCCAAAAGAAACAACTCAGGAAATGCTATCCCAAGTGAGTGTACCAGAGGGTATCCCATTATGATTGGTTACATGTTCATTAAATCTTCATTCTATGCCCATAAAACGGTGGCAAATCCCCTGACAGAAAAGCAGACATATCTATGTACATTCATTATTCATTTCAATTCAATAAAGTTGGTAAATGAATTTATTACATCTATTAAGTCCAATAAATAAAGATATGGAATTACAACCCGCAAAGAAGTTTAGTGTGCATTTGCCATATGGAAAGAAAAATGATGGAATTTGGATTTTGTTTTCTATCATTGGTAATTATCCATTCATGAAATCCCATGAATTTTCATTGAATATATTGAATGGTCATGTGCCAAAGGTATGTTAAATAACCAGAGGATAACCTACTTGCCAATATATCCCATTAACAGCCCATTGAAAATTCATTAAATCACACTAAATCGTGTTAAAACCCATGGAAAATCATGTTAATGATAAATTTGAGGGTATAAGATTGAACTATGTTTGATAAACCCTCCAATCCTGTTAGTGTTTCATGAAACTCCATGAAATCACCATGACATCCCCATGACGTCGCCCTTCACTCGGCCGGGTTTTCGCGGAGTTTTCACCAGGTACCGTGCCCCGGTGAAGAAGTTTCCGCCGCTGCAGTTCCCCACCGATCGCTTGAGAGCCATGGCGAGCGAGCGTTTCCAAAGTTTCCAATAAACAAGTTGTGAAGCGCAGCCATTATGAATAAATAATGGTTAATAATGGTATTGTCACTATAAATAACCATGGTTCATAATTGTTACATAGTACAATCATTATTGTTTATAGTAAGTTACTATGTAACAATTATGAACCATGATTTAACCATTGTTATATAACCATTATTTATCATTAACCATTGTAACCATCATCAAATCCTATGAAACCACCAGTGGTTGGTGGTTTGGAACCATGGATTTTTATGACTTTCCATATATCGGGAATGTCATCATCCCAACTGACTTTCATATTTTTCAGAGGGGTTCAAACCACCAACCAGACTATGATTAATGGGATATGATATCAATCATTTGGGATATATATATATATATGGGTTAATGGGAGTCAATGGTACACACACGATTGGTGTTATTGGAATAAATGGTTTAATGGGTGTGAATGATGGATAATTTGAAATGGTATAATAAACAACTTTTGGGATATGGGTATGGATCAATACCTATTAATACCATTTTTAGGGGAATGAACATCCATTTACCAGCTATTTTGATGTTCACCAGGGGTACAAGGTTTTGACACACTGCCATATGAATGGATATGAATCATTTGGGATTATATCATCAATGGGATTCTATATATATGTATATATATATATGCTTTTCAGGTCCCTGATGGTGAATATGTGGAGATTTCCTCCAAGGACTAAAACGGATAGTACCCCACATCATCTTAAATTAGACCATTTGAGTATTGAAACCCGTGGTTTTAGCGATCCTTCATTTTTGAGACACCCCAACATTGGAACTGGTATAAGCATGAATTTGATGTTGGACAAATTTGTATAACATAATGTTTTGCAATGTTTTCGCAGTTGTTGGCATGCAAAACTCATTGATGAGGGAAATTGGATGTGCCTGGAAAGAGGGTATAGCCCAAACGCGCGTCTTCTGTCTAGCAATTGTCACATGAGCTGCTGCTAATGCAGGAAAGATGTGAAATCCTACAGGAAACAGTAGTGTAATTGAACATGTTATGGTGCATATTCTCAAAGATATATAAGCAAACACACATATATATATATATATATACACATGTAGCTATTCAAAATGTTGATCGCCAAACATGAAAACCACCAACTCACAAAAGAAAAAAAACGCGTGTGCAATACATGTCTTTTTTGTACTGCAAAATGAAAGCCGCAATATTTGGCGGAGGTAAGATCTTAATGGTGACCAACAATTCGAGCTTATACATAATTTTATTTATATAGTGTGTCTAATAAGACATGCGTTCATCTCAATCTCGACATGTTTGAACTAAGTATATATATATAAGTATTCTGAAGTAATCTTTACATACAGAATAGATTATATACTGTACCTGTATTATTTTGGTGTTATGTCGATACTTCTCCTGAGCATAGCAGCTATTATCTTGGAGGTTTGAATATATTTCATATTTGAGAGAGGACCATACTAATCATTGCTAATCCCTTAATAATTCATTATCAATAGTGTACTAATATGAACTATACATCATGTTTTTTTTTGGTTTATTCTATATCTTCAGCATCAACCAATCATGTCAAATCTCGGTGACTCAGTGAGCACCGTCTTGGACGGTTGGGTCCACAGCGTCGCAAGGAGATGGGATTCGAGATGGCACCAAGAAGAAAGTGGCCCAGGACGCTGATTTGGACGGCCAGTTGTCCCCGGTTTTCGTGTGACTTTCTGCGAAGCAAAAAAAGATCAGTAATAATGGGGATAGTCACTAGAATATCATCATTGTACTGATATAATGGTTAGTACTGATTCTGAAAAATGATGATGAGTAATGTTTAAGGAAGATCAGTAATGGTTAATAATGGTTTGTGATGGTGATTATATAATGGTTGATAATGGTTAATAAATGATGATGGTTACTGATAGTTCATGATGCTGAATGTGGTTAAAACGATGCCATAAACCAGCCATGACTGGGAATGGGGAAAATACCACCTATACAAATGGTGAATTTGGGGATGATTTATTATTGTTTCACCAACATGATCTGAGTATCTGAAGATGCAAAATCCCCAATGATTGGGTGATGTTCAAGTGCAGCTAGCTCGGGATTTATGGGCAGTAGCTGATTGGTTGCTGACAATTGGCTGATGGCTGATTCGTGGTGAAAAGACTTGCCGGCGACACCTGGGCCGCTGCCTTTCAACGTGTGCTTGAGATCATCGGTGCCATGTAAAATGTTGTAAGGTGCCATGTAAATCCCTTTACCAACAGCATGTCTGGTTATCATGTATCCCAGACATGTTTGCATAAACGATCGCCAGAAAGCCAGACATTTTTTGTTGCTCAACACTTCACCGTGACCGTGGTAGGTTCTGGCAGGATGCTCATCGACTCGCGAGAAATGGTGAATGCCGCTTTATTTTTAACGTAGGGACCTGGAACATCACTATGTTTAAGAGGTAGATCATCATGTTTATATATATATATGTTTATCATCTACAAATGTGCCATGTTCGATACCTAGCTATATTAGATAACCAGATGGTAATTATGATCATTTGCACATTCGAAAGGTAGCATTTTTGAGATGATTCCCCATGTGGTAACCATGGGATCAACATCAAACCAGTACATATTCCCATTTATGGCAACATATTCGGATTGAAGTATCATGAAGTATCTATGAAAGGCTGATGCAGTTTATAGGTGCTTAATAGGTGTTTCTAGTGGATCTATGGATAAAATGCAGTGAATGTGTCTAAAACTATGATGGACCCCCCGAAGGGCTCCGCTGATTTGGTGACTGAGGATCCTGGCACTGTTGTCAGATGGTGATTTTTGGACGCCATAAATGTCTACGTCGTATTTTTTATCAGTAGAGTTGGGAAAAGCAGCTGTAGATGGGCTAATTGATATTTATATATATATATGTATACTACTTACTTGCAGGACTTACCAGGGTTACTATCCACGTACTTGGTCTAATTTCCTTAGAGACGTTTGAGTGGTGTTCAGAGCCCTTTGTCATTGCATTATTCTGGTTGGTTAATAAGGATTCCCTAAATTGATATTAATTGATGATAATCCCCAATACACTGGTTAGTACAGTTCCCTAGTCATTCATCATGGGGTGTAGCCAGCTACTGCTCACATTGAAACAGAACGTTTAAAGGCCTTCTTACGTGGCCATCAACCCTTATTGGAGCTTATTGAACACCCTGTTTGTTTATCCCCAAGTTGTTGGTTATATCCCACCTCCCATGATATCCCTGCGATATCCACATTATATCCTTTCCCATGAGTATCACATTAAATCCTCCATGGACTCCATGTCTTGTTTCTCATTCATATCAATATGTTCAGACACAGCCACATATCATATATTGTTGGTTATATATCCCATTGTATCCCCATGATATCCCCATGAAAACACCATTAATAAAACACTAGAATATTCATTGGTTCACCCCCTAGTGTTTGATGGTTACGTCACCATTTACCCTCTGGTAAACTAACATAGCTATGGAAAATCACCATTGTTCATGGGAGAATCCACTGTAAATGGCAATTTTCAATAGTTATGTTAGTTTACCAGAGGGTAGGATGGTGTTTACCAAACCCCATGATATCATCACTGCACCTATTTCCTATAGCGAAATCCAGCATGTTGATCCACAGGAGCTGGGCCTGCGGCACTTCGGGCTGCCAGCCAGGGATGCCATCATCATCCCCCCACACTGTGAACAGGAGCGGCCCGATAAGGGCCACCATGGGAAGATGCGAAGATGCTGAAGGTTGATGGTGTTGAGTCAGTTCTGTGATAGAGATGGGATGATAGGTTTATGGATAATCCTACAAAATGAATGTTTATGATACCCTCTGGTAATTTAACATAGCTATTGAAAATCACCGGTTTTTAATGGGAAAATCCACTATAAATGGTCATTTTCAATAGCTATGTTAAATTACCAGAGGGTAGGTTGTTGGTTTCTTTTTCATATTCCATCTTGCTCTGGGGGCCCACTCCACTGCATGTGTATGATATGATATTGATATGTTTGCATATTCTGAAAGAATCTGACAGTGTTTTTTGTAATCTGACTGTGAATATTTTGACACTGAGATATACCGGCTGAAATAGAAAGATTGTTGTTGGACCAGAATGTTGATGCGGGAGTCTATAGTAATGATATCATCGATGAAATTGTAAGATAAATATGATAATATATTAGTAATATAGAATCAATATAGGGGTCTCTCTGGAAATGATGTATATTTTTCTAAATGGCTACTTGAAACGGACATATGACTAGCCATTGAAACCACGCTGAAGCCGTCCGCATGGCTCCAGGTTTGTCTCTTCACGGATGAGGGCGAAAACTCTGCAGGGAAGGGTCAAGTCGATTGCCTTGGAGTTGAGGATAGCTTCGAACTGGAAAGCACCAGAAAATCACAATGTTTCACAGGGAAGTAATCGAACTAAATTGGGCACAATTGGACCATGCGTACCTTGCTATACTGAAGATTGATTTGAAGGTAACCCGCCCCAAGACTTATTTTGGTTGAGGAAACCAAAATCATTTTGTTCATAGCATGTTACGCAAGGACAATGGGATGTGAGTACCACGTGTGGTGGAATTTTCAGTTAGCATCCTGATCCGTTACCACGGGGAATCCCATGGTTTGTCTCCATGTTCCCCATTTTCAGACTCACAAAAACTGCTTGGTGGTTTGGAACCATGGAATTTTATGACTTTCCATATATTGAGAATGTCATCATCCCAACTGACGAACTCCATCATTTTTCAGAGGGGTAGGTCAACCACCAACCAGATATAGTTATTAACTATCATTAACCATATATTAACCACATATTAACCATCATTAACAGTATATTAACCACATATTACATTTGGTTAAACCACCATTGGTGATGTGGTGAAGTCCCATTGAGATGCTAAAATCCCACTGGTCATCATCCCGACTGGTGAAATCCAGACCTCTACCCAGTCGCGCCACCTAGGCGCATGCCGGTGGCAACTTTCTCTTAGGACGCTTCGAAGTGTCACTTGGTGCGATTCACAAGCTGGTGCCCCAGTTCTAAGTTGCTAACTCAAATGTTGCTAACTCAAATAAAGATATACCATCTGGTTATTTAACAGTTTGCCATGGAAAATCACCATTGTTAATAGGTAAACCATCTATTTCAATGGACCATCTATCCCATGGCTATGTTAGTCATAACCAGAGGGTAAATGGCAGCTCTGGATCACGGTATTTTTTTCCCAGAGGCGATCATAACCCCGATAGTAAAATGCGGATGGACACCTTTCAGGTGCGTGTGCCGTGCACCTTTTGGATCAAGGGTGATGATATTCTTCTTTGTGATCTCACCGATGGGAATTACTATCCCAAAACACTACTATGACTATAACTATATATATATAGTTATACTAATGATTACTAATGTTATAATGCCAACACCGGATTAATAACCCCCCCCAGAAGGTAGGGGGGTACCTTCTGGCTAGTTTTCTTGACGACCCGTTAATAATAAGCAACTCTGAACCATAAAACTTTGGATATGGCTTACGTAATTAGATCTTAATAGAATTCCATTGGATTTGTTAAAATTTCATGGATCAGAAAGGTGGTTGATTCATCAGGGGCAAACCCTGGTTATTATTAATGGGGGACATGGGCTCATGGGGGGTACCCTTTGGGAGCTATCCAAACTGATGATTTTTATAAAGATTTTAATTAGAAATCAATCATTTGGGGAATAGTTGTTTTTTGAAATTTTAAATGATCAACTTAAACCTGAAGTATAACAATGATGATTAAAAAAAGGTAAAAATAAACAATTGGAAATAAATAGAATTGGAAATAACAAATGTTGGATTAAAAAAATGGCTTTCAGAATTGGTGGTTGATTAATCGGGGGTAGGCCAAAGTGTTTATTAATCTGGGGGGACCACCTGTTTTTAAATTACTTTTTTGGGGGGGGGCAGTTGCTGTTGATTAATCGGGGGGGGGGGGGCATTATTAATCCTCACTTGGCATTACTGAGTTATACTGTATATGTATAATACTATGTATATATATATATATATACCGTATAATATACTGTATATATATATGTATGTTAATATGTATATATATATATTTACATATGGGATGTTGTTACTGAACACCTGGGTTAGTCTAAATGTAGAGTTATTCATGCCTTTAGTGAAAATCATTGGATTCGCCTTGAGGGATGGTCATGAATCATCAATCCAATTTTTATGGTGATTTGTGTATTTAATATACCCATTATATATATACTGTATGATACACATGATTATATATATATAATATATATATATATATATATACATGGATTCCCAAATTGTGGGACGGATGACCGTAAAGCATGTATATTTACCATGTGTTTTGACCATGGTATACATTTATTTGTCCAAACGTTGGATAAGCATTGGATAAAAACCCAAATTGAAACTTTAATAATATTAATGATGATTCTCATTGGTGGCAGTACTTTGTGGCGTTCCAACTGTTTTTTTTTTTTTCCATTGTCATGTTTTCGAGAAACCAAATCATTGTGTTTTTTTTGTATATGAGCTATTCATATTGTAGTGTATATATGTAGACTCTAGACCCATATTTTCTGCAACTTGTGGCATAAACGCATGGATCATGTACCAAAGATGTATTGTGTCTCCGATGGTCGTTGTAGTTCATGCTAGTTGACCTAATATGATTCAGTACTCGTTGGAGCTTCCCCAGTGATCCCCTTTTGGAGCTACCAAAATGAGGTGCACAGCGGGTTGGTTTGTTTTGATGACTTATTTTTCTACCCATGTATGAATAGTTCTGATTCATTTCCGGTTCGAAGACAATTTCTTCAAAAGGATACCCACGGTTAAGCACGTTCATGTTTCGCTACTTCTCCATTTGGTTGTACCAAGTTATCCACTTTGACAATGCTGCTAACCCAAGAATACTGAACCTCCAATTATTTCACGGCTGATACAATTCCCAAATGGTAGGGATAATTGTATGTTTTGACCGACTCAAAAACGCTTGAGAGACAAAATACATGCAGTATATACCACATCATCCGTCATGACCTTTTAGTATAATGCATTTCCAGCTACCTATTTTTGCCCCAAAAATCGCCACATCCACGTGTTTTCATCTAGTTGGTGCCTTTTTGACACCAGGCTAGCCCTGAGTGCTGTAGCGGACTACGATGAAGCGTGGCGCTTTGTGCCCTGGACATAGACACAATCCTTGGGGGTTTGTAGGGCGGTAGGGTACCCCAAATTTGAGAGCTAATATGGTGGTGTCCTAAAATGGGGAAGCCCCAAATTCATGGGTTTCAATGCTAAAACGATCCAATGTTTGATGGTTTGGGGTACCCCCATTTGAGGAAACCTCCGTTTTTGGGCTACACAATATTAGATTAATCATCATGTTTCCTTTGAAGAATTGGCTAGTTGTGAGGTTTTTTGGCTTGGTAGTTGTCCATAGAAATTGCTACATGAGGAGGTCTTTCACCAGATTATGAGGGCGATCGACTCCGCCCAGCGTCATTTCCCTCACGGAGTCGATGGGCGAAATCCGGGAAATCCACTAGAAATAGAGAATCTATAGGGGTTCTGCTGAAATTGTTGGGGGGACCCGGGGTTCTTCTGAAGCAAATCCAAGTTTTCCTCCGCTGTGCTCAAGCCAATCGATTTCACAACGTGCCTCGCACCACACTTCGCAATGGGAAGCGGTGCATCCAAGGCGAGGTACGCTGTGTTTTGTTTTGATGATCTCAATGGTGTTTGATGATGGTGATGATGATGGTGATGATGAGGATGATGTTGTTTTGTTTGTTTGTTTGTTTGTTTGTCTGTCTGTTTGTTTGTTTGTCTGTCTGTCTGTTTGGTTGGTTGTTTGGTTGTTTCGTTGGTTGGTTGGTTTGGTTGGTTTGGTTGGTTTGGTTGGTTTGGTTGGTTTGGTTGGTTTGGTTGGTTTGGTTGGTTTGGTTGGTTTGGTTGGTTTGGTTGGTTTGGTTGGTTTGGTTTGTTTGGTTCGTTTGGTTCGTTTGGTTCGTTTGGTTCGTTTGGTTGGTTTGGTTGGTTTGGTTGGTTTGGTTGGTTTGGTTGGTTTGGTTGGTTTGGTTGGTTTGGTTGGTTTGGTTGGTTTGGTTGGTTTGGTTGGTTTGGTTGGTTTGGTTGGTTTGGTTGGTTTGGTTGGTTGGTTGGTTGGTTGGTTGGTTGTTGTTGCTGCTGCTGTGGTTATGGTTGTGGTTGTGGTTGTGGTTGTGGTTGTTCTGGTTTTGTTGTTGATGCTCATCATCATCATCATCATCATCATGATCATAATCATGGTGGCAATAACCACGAACACGCACCAGTCACCTTGCAAGCTACCCACCCGTCGCCGCCAGTTGGAAACCATGGAGGCCGTCTTCTGAGCAAAACGTGGATGGGGTGTCGTGGAGGGCGTCGAAGCAAACCCCATTAAGAATTCTTGGTTTGGCTGCCAATCAACAGGGACATCAAATGTTCAATACTGGGAACAAGAAGAAATTGTAGGAATTAGCCGGGTTCTGAGCGAATCAATAAGTCAAGAGTTCAAGGGGGTTCACTTAATTAGTCATGTTGATACAGAACTATGTGATAGCCTCGCTGGAGAACTAAGAACACATTAAAAATGCAATGGTACTGCGCTGTTGCAGCCATGTTGGTATCAGGATGTTGTGAGGGTATTGTATGAAAAGAAATCCATAACAAAATGGTCTTGGTTGGTGAACCATTCCAACTAACTAGTTGGGGTCTCAATGGGTGATCATGAGGCATTTGTTTGAGGAGAGGAAATTAGGGAATTGAAGAAGAGGAGAGTGAGCCAAATGGATCTCCAATATTCCCGTTATTTTAGAAGTGTTGTATTTCTCTGTATTGGGATGTGGTTCAAAATCCTAGTGTGTCATTATACGGGAATGTGTCAAAGTTCAGATCAAACAACTGTTTTGGGCTAACATCATCTAACATCCATCATTCATAATTTTCATTAATTTTCCAGCTATTTTGACACAACAGCGTGAACATCAAAGCACCAACGTTTTGACCCAATTGACCTAATATCCATATTGCATCTCATATTGCGGCGAGCCCAAAAACATCCCATAAGCCGTATCCCTGTCTATTGTTTCTTGGTTAAATCGACAACCAGATTGGGGTGATAGTACCATATATCAGTTACTCCCTCTACCGCAACAAGAATCAGGATTGCTTCCACTTATCAGTATCATGGGAATATGATTTGCCACTTTTGGGTGTTTAAAAATGTACGGTTGCCTCTTTATCCAGTCATCCCCTCCATGACACCTGGTGGGGTCTGAAGTGTTGGTAGCAACCCGCCGCCAGAGCGCCCATGAAGACTCCGTGATGGCCCTGAAGGATAATGAGGCGGACAAGTGACCAATAGCTTGGGTAGCTAAAGATGGGTTGGGATTGGGATTAGGGTTGTTGTTAGTCTTGGTCTTCTTGGTCTTCTTGGTCTTCTTGGTCCTTTTGCTCTTATTGTTCTTATTGTTATTATTGTTCTTGTTGTTTACTGTATGTGTTGTTGTGTTTGTTCTTGTTCTTGTTTGCCATGTTCTTCTTGTTTTTGTTCCTGTTTTCTTGCTGTTTGTGTTCTTGTTTTTGTTATTGTTGTTTTCACTATATATATATATATATATGTGTGTGTATACGTATATATGTATACAGTATATAATTTATATTTGACTCCCAACATATGTTTTTTTTGTTTTTGTTCGCAGGTTCTCAAAAATTAGCAATGTTCACTCAATTGACTGACCAACTGACTGGCAATGAGTTTGTTCTTCGCCAGTCGGATAAGTTTCAGACATAGAAATCATGAGGATTACTCTTCCACGAGAAATGATAACGAACCAACTTATTAATAGTCTAATTCATTTACCAGTGCAGGGGATGTTAATCATGCGTTTCCTTACTTGGCCTGGAGAGCATGCAAGATCCAATAACATTTGGAACGATAATTAGCCAACAGAACTATATGGTGACCAACCATTTGTGATGCACGACGGATAGTTTAAAATTGGGCAGATCCTGCCACAACCGCACACACACAAAAACACATTATATACAAGATGTGGCACCTGGAGTGGCACCCTGACGAAATGCTGCATATATCCTTCAGCATTATCAAAGTTGTGTTGCTGTTGGATGTTGATCCCCTGGTTGTTTATTTTGGGGATTACCCATGTTTATTTGGGGGATTACCCATGATTACCCATGTTGGTTGTTTATTTGGGGGATTGCCCATTACAAACGTATGTTTGGCAGAGGGTAAAAGGAGATTTCTAGGCAACAGTTGCTCCCCGTTTAAGGTGAAACCTCCATTTTTGTTGACGCTTTATCCCCAATGGTCCCAACTACCCTCTGGTAAACTAACAGTTTGCTATTGACAATGACCATTAATAGTGGATTTTCCCATTAAAAATGGTGATTTTCAATAGCTATGTTAAATTACCAGAGGGTAAATCCCAAGTCTGAACCCTCTGAACCCTGCGGACAACATTTTTTCCATGGCATTCGATCATGACTCCATGGATACTGCTGAACACTTTGATCTGTTGCTTTTGGTAATTTAACCTAGCCATGGAAGGTCACTATGTTTTACTAGGTAAATCATGTGTTTTTTTTCCATAGCTATATTAGATAGTCAGAAAGTAGCCTCTGTGGGACTGGTGGGTCATGGATTCTGAAGGTCCCACATGATCAGCAAATTTTCTTTCTTTCCGCAGGGGATCGACAAACAACCAAGAGTCTCATCATAAATCCCTGAAATCCGAGTACATCTCAATCCCATTACAGTAATCATCAGTAATCCATGACAAGTCCCATATCATCCATCCTATGAATCCAGAAAAATGGACTAAAATCCATCCATGTACCCTTTAGTAAGTAATTTAACATAATTTAACGTAGCGAACTGGACAATCACAATTGTTCATAGCTAAATCATGATAAATCATCTATAAATAGGCCAACTATACCATAGCAATCTTAATGTTCCAGAGGGTAATCCATTATAATCCATGACTTAGGTAACTTAAGTTCCATTTAATACATACATACATATGTATATGTATATATATATATATACATGTAATCATATGTATATATTATATATGTATGAATCCAGAGATATGTTGGACCCAAGATTCATTCATAGAGTCCATATCCTCCCAAGCTCCAGGTGGTGGTGAAGATTTTGGCAGAGAAGCATGGCGTGAAATGTCCTGAGCTTCCAGGAGTTTCTGGCGTCTTCCGGTGAAAATTCTGGGAACAGATGTTGCAAAGCCATGGGAACAGATGTAAAGAACACTAAAGTAAAGCCCATGATTGATGGTGTTTTCGGCCAAAATGTGGAGTTGACTTAAACCCCCCCTGGTTTAGTGGATTCTACATTCATGAATCAGCTTCCCTGGTAGTGAATATTCGCGGGTGGCAAACATGGCCATTGGGAGACGTTGGAATATGGGGTAACACAAGGTGTCATGAGTTATCCGGTTGAAACCGGTTTCTTCCCCACCAGACTTCCCATAAACGATACATTGCTGAGTTTATTTTAGAAGATTTTTGTCCATCCAAAACTCCATTTAGTTAGGGGATGTTCCAGATGTTCCATTGCTACGTTTGATTACCGGGTGTTCCTATTAATCATCACTATTGACCATTCAGCATCATTATCAACTATCATCAACCATTATTAACCATCATTATCCATCATTAACCAGGAATATTAACCATAGTTATTAACCGTTCCTAACCATCATTGGTACTATTCACCCCATAAAACATCATAAAACTGGCAGGAGACATCCTTCTGAGTGGAGAGATGGACCAAGATGTGGTGAAATCCTTGGCTCAAGTCTGTGGCTCGATGAGATTCATGGGAGAGTCATGGAGAAATTTACCCTCTGGTAAACGTTATGGAAAATCACCATTTTATAGCTGGGTAAATCCACTATTTCGACTGGGTCATTTTCAATAGCTATGTTAAATTACCAGAGGGTATGAGTTCTTCAAGTCTGATATATTAGAATCAGATAGTCCAGGATATTCCATAAATATTATATAAAGTGGATGTCTTAAAATCGGGGGATCGAATATTTTAACAACTGATCAAGTCTGACTTGGATGATTTTGGGCTACCCCCAAAAAATCGGGAAATCTGGATGAAGT